TGCTCAGGCTGGTTTCGAACTCCTGACCTCGAGCATCTGCCCACTTCGGCCTCCCAGAGTGCTAGGATTACAGGTGAATTTTATTTCTTTTTAATTAATTTAATTTTAAATAGCCACATGTGACTAGCAGCCACTGCATTGGACAGCACAGGCCTAAGGCGTCACCCACTTGCTGTTTCGATCGAACGTTCGCGGTTCTGTCTTGAGCTATGATCGGGTACCTGTGTGCTTCCTTCACTAGGCTGTTGTATTCTTGAGGTCAGGGAGTATATTTAATTTATGGTTGAATCACTTCCTCCCAGAGCTCTTGCACAATGCCGTGCGAATCACGGGCACTCGGCAAACAAGGCCTGGGTTAGATTGTCCGCGGAGAGCACAGCTTGGACTTGTCTTCCGAGGCTCCTTCCAATCCAAGGAGATTACAGGCTTCTTGCCTCCCAGAGCCACCCGCCCAGTGAGGATTAAAGAAGAAGGAAAACAGTGTTTACAAAATGCCTCTTTCAAACGGCACCGGGCTGGGTGGAGCAGCGGGACAGACCGCAGGCATGGTCCCGGAGCTGCAGGTGTCTGCTGTCAGTGCACGGCACGGCGGCGGGGAAGTGAGACCGAAACATAACAGGACCGAGTTGAAAGAAACATAGGGAAACTTGGATGCGTGCATGAGTATTTTCCCCTTATAGTGTCCACCATAGGTCCATACGAGGTCCGGGAAGGGATAACAGTTATTAACAAGGAATGTTCTCAGCCTTCCCGCCCTCCTCCGGGTCCTGTCTCCCACCTCCCGTAAAAGGGGATTCAGGGCTGGTCGTGGTGGCTCACACCTGTAATCCTAGCACTCTGGGAGGCCAAGATGGGCAGATCGCTTAAGGTCAGGGGTTCGAAACCAGCCTGAGCAAGAGTGAGACCCCCGTCTCTACTAAAAATAGAAATAAATGAATTGGCCAATTAAAAATATATAGAAAAAATTAGCCGGGCATGGTGGCACATGCCTGTAGTCCCAGCTACTCGGGAGGCTGAGGCAGGAGGATCGCTTGAGCCCAGGAGTCTGAGGTTGCCGTGAGCTAGGCTGACGCCACAGCACTCTAGCCCAGGCAACAGAGGGAGACTCTGGCTCAAAAAACAAATGAATAAATAAAAAAGGGGATTCAGTCTCAATGGGCGGAGGCTGGGGTGGAGGTGGGCGGGGTGGGCCGGGGAGGGGGTGCGCAGCGCTGCAGGTCCTCAGGGACATGGTGGGAGAAAGAAGGCGGTAGAGCTACTAAGGGGTTTGGCTCTTACTGGCAGGGTTTGGGAAAGGCAAGTACAGAACCTGAGTCATGTTGGATCTGTCTTCACTGGCCTCGACCGCAGCCGAGTCAGGAGACTGGGCCGCGTGGTCCAGGTCCACGAGGATCACATGCCACTGGTCGGGGTGTCCGGGGGCCACCTCCCTGGCCGCGCCTCCGCTGGTGCAGCACATTCTTCCAAATGACCTCACGGGGGACAAAACTTCACTCTGTGTAGGGGACCTCGCTTTGCTGGAAATCGCTAAAGGTGATCTGCAGCCAAGTTTGGTTGGATATTGGGCAATCCTGTTGTTGCCCAAAAGTGACTGAAATGGTCATAATGTCAGGATGCTGACTTTTCTGGAGGATTTGGCAAAGTGGTTCTTAAGGTCTTTTCAACGAAGGGAAGATTTCAGTCTGGCTTTGCTTGGGCTCCAAAGAGGAGGCTGTTGAGAAAAGCCCCCGCAGCCCCAGCCGCCCTCGCCCGCTGGCCAGAGCACCCGGCTCTCCGCTGGGCAGCGCACACCCCTCCCGAGGTCACCGTCTTCCTAAGCCAGCTGCTTCTGGCTCCGCTCTGCAGACCAAGGTGTGGAAAATCCCTTTTCCAGGCTGGAAAGAGACACACCGGCATGCAAAGTGTGCTCCCGTGGGGTGGAGAGCTGCCTCTCAGCTAGGGGCAATTTTGCGCCCCAGGCAGAGGTAGATGGCAATGTCCAGAGACACTGGGGGTTGTCGCAAGTGGGCCGGGGGGTGGTGCTAGTGACACCTAGTTGGTAGAGTCCAGGGGTGCTGCTAAGCATCCTCCGAAGCCCAGGCCAGCCCCCTACAACAGGGGATTGTCCAGCCCGAATGTCAGCCGTGCCAAGGTGGAGAAGTCCCGGGGTGCAATAATCCAAGGCTGCTTTTCACTTACTTTTGTTGTTACTTTCCCACTTTTCTAAAATGAATAATATATTATTTTGGATGCAGGAAAAAAATGGAAACCTCTTTTCCTTTTAACTGGTGCAGGCTTGGCACTTAAAGGGAGGATAAAAAAAAAAGAGTCATTATGAAGGCGCCAAGGAAAAACAGAGGAAATACAGAAATAGAGAAATAAACAAATTTAGGGAATTCAATCTAACCCGTATTTGTTGAGCAGCAAAGTTCAGGGTGCTGCAGGACGCTTGGCCACCCCAGGCCTGGAGGAGGTCGCCCACGGTCCGCCGGGAAGCAAAGGCCAAACAGAACTCTGCAATATAAGACAATAGGAAAAACAAAATTGAAAAAGAGGGAGGAGAGTTTCCCCCAGTTGGGGGGTCTGGGAAGGCTTCAGGACAAACATGAGACACTCGAGCTGGGTCTTGCAGGCAGGGTGGGAGGGGTTCTGTTGTCATCTGAAGTTAGCCCACGTGAATTTGAATGCAGCCACCCTGCTTAAAGACTGGACAGTCTAAGGCTAAGTGGCCTCTCTAAATTGTCTCATGCAAAAATTGGGTATAATAATCAATGAATATTGTCTCCTTAAAGCAGTCACCACAGGTCCTTATGGGGCCTGTGAGGGGATAAAGATGATTAATGAGGATGTGTTCCCAAACCTGCCCCTGACTTACAGGGTTACACGATTGATTGACATGATACCCCGCACCTAGCACGGTGCCTGGTGCAGCTGCTGCTGTTGGCCTGGTCATCAGCAGGAGAGAGGAGACAGGGTGCCCCTGGCCCAGGAAGAAGAACGTAGGCAGGTGGGCAGGTGTTGGGAGTTGGGGGACAGTGGTGGCTGGAACTTGGTACTCTGAAGTGTGATGGGCGGTGCCCGGGGGCTTTGGGAAGATGCAGACCCGCAGGGCCCCGCCCCGACTTGCTGAACGGGAAGCTGCAGGTGTCCCCAGGTGTGCGCCTCTCAGGTTGAGCAGCAGGGCGGGAACGGGAGGGAGTGCCGTGAGGTGCAGCTGAAGTGTGGGGCCGGACGGGGGGCTGTCTGTGCCGTGCTGGGGGCTGGGGAGATGGCAGTAGGGAACTTTAGATGGGTATTTGTTTTGGGGGTGGGGTGAGAAGAGAAGACCCAGCGGAGGCGTGCATGGCAGGGAAGGAGAGAGATTTGGGGGTAACCTGCCTCTCCCACTCGCCCCAAGGCCCCACGTTCGAGCTCTCCCAGGGTGGGGGGTTTCCAGCCTTGGGACCACAGGCTGCCTGGGGAGGGAAGGGGGGCTGGTTTGCTTGTTTTAAGCCCAAGCACAGCCCCCTAACAGGCTCGCTGGGAGCCCCCAGTGGACACTTCTTTCTAGAAGGACCGCCTCGGCACTGGACGAGGAGGGTCCTGCCCCAAGCACTTGCTGACAGCACTGAGACAGAGAGACACGGGGTTGTCTTCTGTGCACAGTGACACGCCAGGAATTAGATGCCGAAGACGCTGGCGCGCCCCCTGGTGGCCAGAAAGCAGCTTGCGCCCTCCTTCCCACCCACCTGCCCACCTGTGAAGGACCTCGACAATGAGCCAGTGTTGCCTAGCGCTAAGGCACAGTGATGGCGCAAGACTCACTTGGGATTTTGCTCATTGTCCTAAGAGAGGTGGTGAGCAATTATCCATGGGGCCAGTGGCTGATGGACTCTTTTTTGCGAGGGTGTGTGTGTGTATAGAGCGCGTTTTTCTGTGTGACTTTTTCGCCCGCTTTTTGTTGTCCGGGTCTGGGGGCAGAGCGTGTGTGTGTATGTGAGTGTGTGTGTGTGTGTGAGAGAGTATGTGCATGTGAGGGTGCATGTGCATGTGAGTGTATGTGTACATGTAAGAGTGTGTGTACGTGAATGTGTGTGTTTGTGAGTGTGTGCATGTGAGTGTGTGTTTGCAAGTGTGTGCATGTGAGAGTGTGTGTGCCTGTGAGGTGCATGTGAGTGTGTGTGTTGGTGAGTGTGTACATGTAAGAGTGTGTGTGCATGTGAGTGTGTGCATGTGAGTATCTGTGCTTGTGAGTGTGCACATGCGACACTGCGTGTGCATGTGTGTACATGTGAATGTGTGTGCATGTGAGGTGCATGTGCATTTGTGTGTGCATGTGAGTGTGCGTGTACTTGTGAGTAGGTGTGCATGTGAGAGTGTGTGTGCATGTGAAGGTGCATGTGCGTGTGTGCATACGAGTGTGCGTGTATGTGTGCCTGTGAGTGCGTTGTGAGTGTATGCATGTGTGATGCGTGTGTGTGTGTGTGTGTGTGTGTGTGGTTGTTCTCCTAGAGGAATGTGACGGAAGCATTTCGCAGTAATGTGTGGCTAGGCTTCCAGGCGGTTTTTCTGCAGAGCCCCTCCTAACCTGGCACCTTCCCCATGTGTCCGTTTCCCGGCAGGGCCCAGCAGGAAGATGGGCGCCCGTGGATGGGGACTTGCGCTGGTGTGCTGCCTGCTACTGGCCTTTGCCTGTGGCCCGGCCCTGAGCCTGGTGCCGCCTGTGCAGCAGGAGCAGCCGGAGCAGGAGGGGACCACGGAGCCGCCTCCCCCGCTGGACCACGCTGACAGGTGAGGGCTGTGAGGTGTGACTGCAGGGGCTCTGGCTCTGGCCGGGTTGAGCCTGGGGCACGGGACCCCCAGAGGCTGGTTCGTTGTGAGACGTGGGGAGCGAAAGCCGAAGCTGAGAGCAGCCCGTGTGGACAGCGGCCCTGGAGGCCGACCGGCCCGTCCTCCTTTTAGGGACTTGGGCGCCTTGTCAGAAACTGCAGACAGCGGTCCAGCCTCATCCCAAGCCTGGGGGGGGTGGTTTTGCAGCTACGTCCTCAATTCAAGAGCAGCCCCTGCTTTCATTTGTCTTCCCATCCTCACCTTGTCCCTCGAGAGTGCCTGCTGGGGTTCTTGGCACCACGTGAAGGCGGGGACAGGGACGCCCTCGACCTGCACGTCTCATCAAGTCTCCACATGGGAGGACGGGGGGACTGGGGGTGCCAAGTGCTGGCTTTCCTGGCACGGCTGCAAAGGACTCGGGTGGGCCCCCGCCTTTGCACCTATGGCCTGCAGCGACGTGTAGACTCCAGGCCACTTGGAGGGACACGCAAAATGCGTAGGGCTACTCGTCAGACCGCCATTCACCCATGTGAGGTCCCAGAGACCTGGGTGACAGCTCAAGGCTGGCTTTGCGTCTCTTTAATATTCTGAGCATTGGGGCTGGCTTGATTCTCGAGAATTCAAACTATCTTTAGAACACCGTGGCATTGGGCAGGATTTGGGGCCCGGCCGCACCATTCCTTCCTTTCTTCTCCCCCTTCCTGTCTGCGCAGAGTGCCTGCTATCGGCTGGGAGCACCCAGGAGGCACCGTCCTCACCTCCAGGGACTCCGAGGCCGCAAAGGGGACAGACGCACATGGCAGTGCAGTGCGGTGGCCTCCCTGGGAGGGGCGTGCCCACGATGGTGGGGGCGGGGACAGGAGAGGGAGGTGTGGGGAGACTAAGAGGACTGAACTGGGTCTCAGAGGATACCTGCAGGCCTCCCAGGTGCGGACGGAAGGGAAAGCTGCCCGGTAGCCAGGTGGCGCGTGCAGCGGAGTGGCTGGCGGTGGTGCTGGGGCTGGGGGGTGGTTTGGGGCAGTGGAGCTGGTGCAGGGTGGGAGGGCAGCCGAGCCCGGAGGCAGCTGAGTCTAGTGGGGGAGGGTCTCACCTGCACTTCATGCTGTAGGAAACTAGGGGAGTTGTGGATAGAATGTTCTAGAAAGAATGCTGGAGGGAGGCAACAGAGGGGATGAGTTGGAGAAAGACGGATTCCCAGAGTGTGCTGGAATTGGTGATGGAATTGGTGGTGGTGCCCCCAAGGTGATAAGGGCCAAGGGCCCAGTTCCGGAGGTGGTGAGGGGTGAGCACGCAGGCTCGGGACTGGAGGTGGCCAGGCCAGGGGGGCGCCGGGATGAGGCTGAGTTCAGGCTCTGCCCTGGGCAGCCGGTGACGACGCTAGAAACAGCGTCTGCAAAGAGGAAGCTCCGGGAGCGAAGGGACGGACGGGGACAGGGGTTTCAGCTTTGGACATGTGACACCGCGGGGCCCGTTGAGTCCCCAGATGGAGGAGACCTTCGGTGAGAAGTCTGTGCAGGCCGAGGCCTGGGGCTCAGGAGAGCGCGGCAGGCGTGGGAGTGTCTGTCTGGGGTCCTGGGCTTGTGGCCGAACTCGGGGCGCACGCACCCACCTCCTGGATGGTCTGGGGTGCGAAAGTGGGGGCAGACTTCGAAAAGGAGCTGGCCCACGCAGAGGGACTCTGCTGCCACCGAGCTGGGTTGTCACAGCTCTAGAGCCAGGGCAAGGAAGGCCTCGAGCCGGACGGCAGGGTGCAAGGCGGCGAGCTGCCGCGAGGTGGTAGCAGGGAGCCGCCGCCGTCCGTCCTGCTGGTGAGCCGGCCTCCCGGCCTGGGCTGGGAGACTTTCACAGGCCCGGCTGCTGCAGGTCCAAGGGCTCCTAAAGATCAAGTGGAACTCTGTCATTCTCCAACGAGTCAGCTGAACGTACCATTTTCTGAATCCCACGTGTTTGACGGGGCGCCAGCTGTCCTGCGTTTCGAAGACGTGCCCTGAAGGCGGCAGACTTCTCCCCACGCAGCCTGCCCCCCGTAGCCCTCGAGCCGCAGCTGTCTTGTTGCCATTTCCGCAGACTATGATCTGTCACTGGAGGGCAGGGGCTTTTCCAAGTTCCATTGAAGGCCCCAGGTTTGCCGAGAGCCAGGCGCGTGCGGCGAGACGGGAGAAGGCCGGTCAGCGTGCGCCAGGCCCACGGCCGCGGAAGGGGGTTCGTTCCTGGCTTTCACCGTGACGCTCTGTTCCGTCAGGGCTGAAGAAAAACATGACAAATACAGCCCCAGCCAGGGCCAGGAGCCGCCCGCTTCCCAGTGCTTCCGCTGCTGCGACCCCGCGGCCCCCCTGTACCAGGCGGCCCCAGTGCCCCAGATCAACATCACCATCCTGAAAGGTCAGACTCCTGGGGGCGGGACGGAGGCAGGTGGGGCTGGGCGGGGGCAGGGCAGGCTGTCGTCCAGAGAGGGGGCAGAGGCTGGGTGCGGTGGCTCATGCCCATAATCCTAGCACTCTGGGAGGCTGCAGGCGGGCGGATTGCTCGAGGTCAGAGTTCAAAACCAGCCTGATGCAAGAGCGAGACCCGTCTCTACTAAAATAGAAAAGAAATTAATTGGCCAACCTAAATAATATCAGAAAAAATTAGCCGGGCCATCGTGGCAAGTGCCTGTAATCCCACTACTCGGGAGGCTGAGGCAGGAGATCTGCTTGAGCCCAGGAGATTGAGTGCTGTGAGCTAGGCTGACGCCACAGCACCACTCTACCCTGGGCAACAAAGCGAGACTCTGTCTCAAAAAAAAAAAAAAAAAAGAGACGGGGAAGCAGAGAAATTCTGGTTTTGAGGCTCTGGCTGCTATCCGGGAAGGGCCCGGAGGACCGAGAACAGGAGAAGGAGCCCAGCGGCTGCCCGGGGCCTCCTCCCCCACCAGCGTGTGGACTGCAGGCTTCTGTGCCCTCTGTCTCCAGGCTCGGTGTCCCCACCCGCTTGCCACTGCCCGGCACGCAGCAGATAATCCCGCAGGGCCCCGCGAAACCTGAGCGGGAACACTCGCAGCCCGGATCCCGAGCCCGGTCCCGACATCTTCAGTTCATCTGCTCAGAGCGAGCCGGGGCCTGGCCGCGGAGCCTGCTGCCTTTGGACAGACCCATATGTCCCCTGCTCCTTGCCAGAGCTCTCCAGAAGGAACAAAAATGTATTGCTCTGGATGAGAACAGAGCAGTCCCTGGGGTCATCTGTTTGCTGGACCGGTTTGGGGGTTGCAGTACCCCGGTGCCAGGATGGGGGACCTTGAAGGGGTCGGGGGCAGGAGCGAGGCTCGCCAGGCCAGGGCCGGGATGCCGCGTCGGGAGGGCGCCCAGGGCAGGCGGGTGCGCAGCCCGGGCACCGGTGACCACTGAACCTCTCACCCGACGTCACGTGTTTTCCTGTCCCTCTTAGGCGAGAAGGGTGACCGCGGGGATCGCGGCCTCCAGGGGAAATACGGCAAAACCGGCTCGGCGGGCGCCAGGGGCCATGTGGGACCCAAAGGGCAGAAAGGGTCCATGGGGGCGCCCGGGGACCGCTGCAAGAACCACTACGCCGCCTTCTCGGTGGGCCGCAGGAAGCCCCTGCACAGCAACGACTACTACCAGACCGTGGTCTTCGACACGGAGTTCGTGAACCTCTACGGCCACTTCAACATGTTCACGGGCAAGTTCTACTGCTACGTGCCCGGCATCTACTTCTTCAGCCTCAACGTGCACACCTGGAACCAGAAGGAGACGTACCTGCACGTCATGAAGAACGAGGAGGAGGCGGTGATCCTGTACGCGCAGGTGAGCGACCGCAGCATCATGCAGAGCCAGAGCCTCATGCTGGAGCTGCGGGAGCAGGACGAGGTGTGGGTGCGCCTCTTCCGGGGCGAGCGCGAGAACGCCATCTTCAGCGACGAGTTCGACACCTACATCACCTTCAGCGGCTACCTGGTCAAGCACGCCGCCGAGCCCTAGCGGGCGGCGGCCACCCCCCTGCCGCACCGCCAGAGGCTGCCCCCACCCGGCCCCCCGCGCTGCGCAGACCCCAGGGCCCGGCACCAGCTGGCCCGGCCGCCTCCTCCCCCCCCCATCTCGGCTTCCCCGGCCTCTGCGCCCCCCGCTTAGGCGTCCGCCCAGACGCCCGCCGCAGCCAGATCTGGCCACCGCCCCGCAGAGAGCTGACAGCAGATGAGATCACCAGGGCGGGGCGCCTGCGAGGACAGCCAGGGGCCTCTGGCTCCCCTCCGTGTGCTCGTCCTCGAGTGACCCTGCGTGGAGGCAGGGTGTCCCAGAGCACAGCACCCCTGCCCCTTCCCTGGAAATCATTAGGCAATTTCTAAAGGCCTCGGAAGGAGGAAAGTAAACCTTGGAGGAAAAAGCGGGGCAGAGCGTTATTTTCGTCGTTGCAGCCAGCCGCTGCTGGCCCCCGAGGGGGGTCCCTCCTGCTGGAGGCCGAGTGAGGCTCTGTGCAAAGGATCCAAGGTGGAAGCTGGCTGCAGGGCATCCGGGAAACCACGTCTGGCCTCATTGTTTCAGGCCACGTAGGAGCCTTCTCTGGGGACGGCTGGCCCCATGTCCTGTCTTGGAGACGGCCCCGTGGCCCTGCCCAAGGGCTCAGCTGGTGCTTTCTGAGCCACAACAGTGAGGGCATTGGGGCTGGGGCAGCCAGCGTCAGCCCCCCAGGTGGGCAGCCACGCCCTACGCTGTTGGCTCCGAGCTGAGCTCTGGGCTCCTGACAGTGGCCGGGGACCTCAGGGACCCCCAGACCTGCGGATGTTTCTAGAGCTCCGGGTGCTCCCAGGCACGGTGCTGCTCCACGCCCCACGCCGCTCAAGCCCTGGCGGGGTCTCCCGGCTGCTGGCCTGTCCCTCCTCCACACGCAGCAGCCATGGAGGACCCCAGCCCGTGGTTCTGTTTCCTGTCAATGCCCTGCACGCCCCACAGAGCCCCGCTTCCTCCGGGGTTTGGCCTCCCCGGCTCTGCGTCCGCTGTCTTGCTTTGCAGCCAGGCCGCCGGCACCACCCAGGTCCCCACCGCCCCCGCCCGGGCCACACGGCAGAGGCTTTCTCGGGTCCCAGAGCAGGGACAGCTGGAGGGGCTGGAAGGCTCCTGTGAGCCTCAGTCCCGAGACCGGAGCAGAAGGGAGACACATCCTGACACAGGGTGGGGACTCGCTCCCAGGCTGCGGGTGTCACAGAGCGCTGCGCTGCTTCCCGCAGCTCTTTCAGGACCTCCGGAGCGGCTGCTGCGTCTGATTGGTTCTCTGGCCCTGCCCGGGCAGCCGCAGCCCTGCGTGCACTGGCGTTCACTGACCTCCAGGACCCCACGGCCCGACCCCACCGCGCCAGGGCCCGGCTCACTCTCGCCGCCTGCTTTGGCCCCCGAGCCCCCCATGCGGGATTTCCTCCCGCCGCCTGGTTTTGACGGACCCCTCTTCCCTCTCTGGGTCCGGCGGGGTCTGGGGTCCTCACGCAGTCCCTCCCTCTAGTGGACTTCTGCCGGTCAGACTAAAGCTGTCCCCTCGGCACGCCCACCGCGAGCAGAGCGCCACCCGCTGCTTGAGCTCCCCGGTGCTCCTTCCGGAAAACATTAAACTCGGAATTGTGTTTTTCAGCATCCTGGCCTCGTCTGTTTGTGCCCTGAACCGAATCCTCTTCCTTTCCTCCCGTCCACCACCCCGCGCCCACCCTGCCTGTCGTCATACTTGGATACTCGGGGACACACCTCGTTCCCTGCAGGTGCTGGGATGGGCTGGTGGCTCCTGAGCGGTGGCGGGAGGCAGGGCCCCCCCTCCTGGGCAGGGCCGAGGTCCCGGGAGAAGCAGGAACCAGGAGGCAGGGACTCGGCCGCTGCTCGGCAGCCCGGACAACTGTCCTCGTTTCCTGGAGCTGCCAGACAAGCCCCACAAACCCGGTGGCTTAAAGCTGCAGAAATGTACCCTCCCAGTTCTGGAGGCCCGATGTCAGAAATCAAGGTGTCAGCAGGGCCGTGCTCCCTCGGAAAGCTCCAGGGGAGGGTCCTTCCACGTCTCTTCCAGCTCCTGGGGGCCCCGGGTGTCCCCAGCTCGGGCCTGCGTCACCCCAGCCTCTTTGTCCCTCTCCCCATGGCTTCCCCTCTGTCTCAAATGTTCCTCTCCTACAAGAATGCCAGTCACTGGGTTTAGGGCCCACCCAAATCCAGGACGGTCTCTTCTTGAGATCTTTAATTATCTTTGCAAAGACTCTGTTTCCAAATAAGGTCACATTCACAGGTACCAGACTTAGGCTCGTCTTTTTGGGGGATACGATTCAGCCCACTGCAGTGGAGTGTGGGCTTGAGTACACCCTTCAACAGCCCCTTCATGGCCCAGCGGCGCAGGGCAGATGTTCCTTCTCTCCATCACTTGCCAGCCGGGTTAGCAGCCGGCCCTTCTCCAACTGCCAGGGGCAGGACAGAAGCTGCCTCACTCCCTCTGGTGCCAGCAGGCTGGCGAACAGCCACTCTCCTCCCTTTGCCTGGGCCTGGTGACCCACGTGGTCCTGCTCGGGCTTGGCAGGGGCCGGACTCTGCAATCTGCTCCCTGCAGGACAGAGAGCAGGCCCCCTCCTCTGTGGAGCTTTCTGTGCGGGGGGTTGGAGGGTGCAGGGGCTGAGAGCCTTTCCCAAGGTGTCTTGCTTGCAGGGACCAGTCAGCTTTTCCAGGGACGTGGACTACATGGCAGGGCCAATCTAACTTCTTCTGATGTCCTCCCTCTTTGGACTCCTCCTGCCCTCCTCCTTCCGGGCTGGCCTCACGCTCTGCTCTGCTGGCCTCCTCCACTCTTGCTCCTGCTCTGCAGCAGACCACGTGCCAGGTGCTGGGGGCAGAAGGACAGAAGATAAGACGCAGTTCTTGCCTTCCCAAGAATCTCCCCAGGATTTTGACTGTGGTGTGATGCAGAGGCCAGCCTCCTCCAAATCGCGTGTTTGGTACCAGAAGGGACTTGCCCAAGCACCTGCTGCCCTCCCCAAGCAGCTCTCACCTCGACAGGGCCTTTTCCCTGTTTCCCGTCTCCCCAGCCAGTGAGAAACTGGCTAACCGTCTCCGGAAGGGACTTGGAAAACTCAGATGCAATACAAATATCAGTGTTTTAGCAAAAAATAAATAAATAAAATAAAAAGACTTAGAAATGGCTGATGACTCAGCCAGAGGAAAGAATTGCTCACCTTAATTTATAGTAGGACTCTCCGGAGTCTTTGTGGCCAGGGCTGGGGGTAAGACGGGTGCTGTCCACACGGGTCCTCAGGGACTGTTTTCTGCAGGGTTCGCTGTGGGAACAGGAGAACGTTGATAACAAGCTGGTTTTATTGGGCCACAGCAACTGGGATAACATGAGACATTCTTGCCCAGGTCCTGAAAAACAGAAAATAAATAAAACGAGATGTTGACACATGCGCAACAATGGAGTCGGGCCCCTATCTCTATACAAAAATTAATTCAAAATGAATCAAAGGCCAAAATGTAAGATACCTGAAACTAGAAAATTCTTGGAAGAAAGCCTGGGCATAAACCTTCATGACTTTGCATTAGGCAGTGGTTTCTTAGTTATGACACCAAAGGCACAAGCAATGAAAGAAAAAAAAAATGAATTGCACGTCATCGAAATTTTAGACTTCTATGTGCAAAGGACACCATCGAGAAAGTGAAAGTACAGCTCACAGAACGGGAGAAGTTGTTTGCAAATCATCGTATGTCAGATCGGGGACTTGTATCTGGAATATATAAAGAGCTCTTGCAACTCAACAATAAAAAGACAACTACTGGGATGAAAGGTGGGCAAAGGACCTGAACAACAGGTGGCCTCACGCACTGCCGTCAGGAATGGAAAGCGGCTGGGCCTCTTTGGAAACATTCTGGCAGCTCCTCAAAACGCAGAGCCATGGCTGGCCTGGCAATGCCACGTCTACGTGTGCACCCCAAAGACATGAAAACACACGCACGTCCCCGCAGAAACTTGTAGACGGATGTTCACAGTAGCTTTATTCATAAAAACACAAAAGTGGATATAACACACATACCCATTGGCTCATGGATGGACACACAAAACGTGGTCTGTCCACACCATGGAATATCATTCGGCCATGAAAAGGAATAAAGTCCTGGCACCTGCTCCGACATCCGTAAATCTAAAAACCTTATCTGCAGGGAAAGAAGCCAGACCCAAAGGGCCACGTGTTGTATGATTCCATTGGTATGAAGCGTCCAGAACAATCTACAGAGACAGAGAGGGTGGGGAGACCGGGGGAAGTGTGTGGGGGGGTGACAGCTAATGGATCTGCAGTGTCCTTTTGGAGTGATGAAAATGTGCTAAAGTTGGTCGTAGTGGAGACTGTGCAACTCTGCAACTATAAGTCATTGAGTTGTACACTTGAAACGGGTAAATTATGGGGTATATAAATTATTTCCCAATAAAGCAGTTGGGAAAGCAAACAGAAAACACATAAAAACAAAAAAACCAGGTCGCCTTGTCCTTCTCCATTGAGGGCCAGGGAGTCCTGCAGCTCCGGAAGCAGGACCTTCGGCGGCGTCTGTCATAAGCCCTTTGTTCTGGGCTTGGCTTATGATGGGGCCAGCGAGGCGGGACGGGAGCGCCGGGGTCAGTTCTTCCAAGAACGTTATTAAACACGCATTCTTGACTCAGTCGGTGGGTGAGATCATAGAGTCAGTAGGAGGCTGACTCAGGTGCCAGGGGACTCGTTCCACAGGCAGTGACTAACTGCAGGCCATGCCTTCCTCTCTGGAGTCCCTGCACAGCTGGGGCAGCGGTGGGGAAGCCGCGGTGACCTCGAGTGACCCGAGTGCCCCAGCTCAGCCGGCCCCAGGAGCCAGCCCCTCCTGCAGCCCATCTCGCTGTGCAGACGGCCAGGCAAGGAAGAGGAATTTCCACATTGGAGCCTCTACAGATAGGATTAGTCTATACGCTCTGGAGAATCTGGAAACCTCCCTGCCTAAGAGACAGATAAAAACATTCCAACTGCTCAGTCGAGAACAAGAGGGCTGTCCGTCCACACACGAGCCGTTGTTGGTTGGTTCTGAAGTTTGGAGCGAGTCTTGCAGCTCCAGCCTGGAGGGGCTTCAGGAAAAGGTCGCTTTCCATCTCGGTGATTCCAAGCCGGGAGGGCAGGAGAAAACCGGAGATAGTAGTTTGGAGAGTCATATAGCCAGATGTCGGAGGAAACGGAAAGAATTCAGGATGCAGCCCAGATTGCAGGGAGATAATAAAACCTCAAAGAGAACGAACGGACAGGGCTGGAACACAACGGTGGATGAGCTCTGGTTCTCTTCCGAAACCCAGCCCGTCACCTTTGGCCTAGTTAGAACTTCCCCTCTCCCTGTGGCTG